TTTTTCAAAACTTAATAAAACCCATTGTATGAATCAGAAATGTTTATTATTTATGTTATAATGTAGGCACATATCTAAAGTTTTGTTTTACGTAGTTTTGAAGATCAAATTAAGTAGGTGATGTTCCCCATTCTCCATTCTCCATACACTGAGTAAACCCATTTCTGGTGTTTGTCATGACTCTTGCCAGCATAGCAGGCGTTATGTTGGCAATTTCTTCCTGGATGTTGGTCTTCAAATCTTGTAGGGTCCTTGGACGGTTCACATAAACACGGGATTTCAAAACACCCCATAGAAAAAAATCACAAGGGGCCAAATCTGGAGAGTGGGCCCGCCACTCCAAATCCGCTCAAAAAGTAGGCCTTAACGGCCAAAGCACGCTCCTCACTGTTCCAACGCATGATGGAGACTGAACTGTGTCAGGACAAAACTTGATACTCCCACCTCTTGAACGAGACCACTAACGCTCCGCTACGTCTTCAACCGACTGAATGGCGCACATTTTAAAAAAGGAAGTTATACTGCCTCACCCTGTATAACAAACTTCAGAAGAACATGGTCACTTCCACCTAAGGATTGTGCTACTTTCAACCCATTAACCAGGGTACCCCTTAAATAGCTGATCTCTTTGTTGCTCTTCCACCTTCGGGGAATGAAATTGTTTGCAAAGCAAGTGAGGAATTGGGTTGTTGTAGGCTTTTTCGGGCTATATGGCCATGTTCTAGAGGCATTATCTCCTGATGTTTCGCCTGCATCTATGGCAAACATCCTCAGAGGTAGTGAGGTTGGACTTTATATCTTTCGCAATCAAGTGTGCCTTATCAAACCAATTCTGGAATTACCTGGAACACCATGCAAATGATTTTAGAGCATATTTCCTTTTGCACTTTACAACCCACATCGTAACATCATCCTGCCATTATGTTACATTTCTTTATCATTTTATGAAGGCTAAACTGCCAATTAGCATATGCAATTATACTGATGTGGCTTGATGACTTGAACTGATCAGCTGTTGTGCTGAATCTAAACTCATTATCAATAGAACGTTTGGGATCCATTAGTTCATAAAGACCCTTTTGATCATAGAATCATAGAATCCTAGAGTTGGAAGAGACCGCATGGGCCATCCAGTCCAACCCCCTGCCAACAAGCAGGAATATTACATTCAAAGCAACCCTGACAGATGGCCATCCAGCCTCTGTTTAAAAGCCTCCAAGGAAGGAGCCTCCACCACACTCCGGGTAGGGTATCCTAGTTTCAATATTCGAATCACTGAGTAGTTCAGTCTTCAAATGAATGCTGTTCGACTGGCATAGCAGGGGAATAAACTGGCATAGGCAAAGGCTATAGTGGAAATTTACATCAACCTTACAGAAGCAGGAGGAAGTGCCTCTCTTTGAAAAACCCTATCCCAGTTATATTCTACTTTGTTCATGCTCAGCAATATTTTTTTAAAAATTTAAAAATTTAAAATTTGGCCCGGCCATAGGTTTTTTAAATGCTTGTGTGTTACTGTTATTGTTATTGTTTATTTTTGCTTATGTGATTTATATTAATTGTTTTGTATTGATTTTTTGTTATTGCTTTTGTTTATTGATGTACTGTGGGCTTGGCCTCATGTAAGCCGCAGCGAGTCCCTTGGGGAGATGGTAGCGCGGTATAAATAAAGTTTATTATTATTATTATGAATTATTATTAAGACAAATTAAATTAGGAATACTCGTTAATCAGGTCTACTGGAAGGTCAAAAATTACTGCTTGTGAGTGACAGTGATGTTCAAAGGACAATTAGAAAAATAGGATAAGGGGGAATTTGGAGATAACAGTGATTAGGGAAATGCAGAGTAAAGCCAGATACAAATCTGGAGGAGAAACCATTAGTTGGCTAGGAAAAAAAACTGTAGGAAACCATGCCTTGCTTAATTATGATCAAATTTAATCGGCAGCTCCAAATAGTCACTGAGGCATAATCTGCAAACTTGGGATCTTGTGGACCACAGCTCCCAATAGCCTCCTGCCAATACTGGCACTGGCAAAAAAGGCAGGTTTTTCATGCTCTCTACTGGAGAGGATCTGTCCAATGAAATGTGGGCTACTATAGTAGAATCATAGAGTTGGAAGAGACCTCATGGGCCATCCAGTTCAATCCCCTGCCAAGAAGCAAGAAGTAGAGTCTTGCTTATCCAACATAAACAAGCCGGCAGAACGTTGGATAAGGAAAAATGTTGGATAATAAGGAGGGATTAAGGAAAAGCTTAATAAAGGTCAAATTACGTTATGATTTTACAAATTATGCACCAAAATATCATGTTTTACAACAAATTGACAGAAAAAGCAGTTCAATACATGGTAACATTATGTAGTAATTACAGTATTTACAAATATAGCACCAAAATATTGCAATGTATTGAAACAGAAGTGGATTCAGGCGGGAGGCACACTGCGTTGGATAATACAGAACGTTAGAACAGCGAAGGTGGATAAGCAAGACTCTACTGTAGTTGCAAGATGAATAAAGACATACTGTATATACTTGAGTATAAGCCTAGTTTTTCAGCCCTTTTTTTAGGCTGAAAAAGCTCCCCTCGGCTTATACTCGAGTCAAGATTATTTATTATTTTACTCTATTATTGGTATTATTATTAGTATATTAGTATATTTATTTCATGTATTATTTTACTCTCTTTATTATTATTACATTTACAGTATTTTACCCTATTATTATTATTATTACATTTATTATTTTACACTATTTATGATTATAATTAATTATTTTATTTTATTATTGCATTTATTATTTTACTCTATTATTAAATTTATTATTTTACTCTATTATTACATTTATTCCATTTCCATTATTTTACTTTATTATTATTATTATTATTACATTTATTATTTTACTCTCTTTATGATTGTTGGAAGGATATGTAAGTACATTTACATTGAAGAAGGTTAGAATAATGATTTAATCAGAGTTGGGTAGTCTTATCTCAAATTACAGTTTTATGTAAATATTCAAAAGCATTTCACCTCCTGATGCTTCAATTAATGTAATTTTATTGGTATCTATTTTTATTTTGAAATATACCAGTAGTGGTTGCATTTCCCACCCTCGGCTTATACTTGAGTTAATATGTTTTCCCAGTTTTTTGTGGTAAAATTAGGTGCCTCGGCTTATATTCGAGTCGGCTTATACTCGAGTATATATGGTAGTCTAGTTTAGGAATATGGAATGAATACCCATGATAGGACTGCCACTTTAATCAGTCCTATGTGTTCTGTCGCGCTGGGCTTGAAACGAATTGCTTTTAAAACAGGACGTGCAACTTTAGCCCAGTGGGAAGCCAGGGGGCCCAAAGAGAAATTCTTAAGGATTTTCACCATAAACAGTCTTTGGAGGGCTTGTGAAATATAACAAAGTCTTTATTGGTGAACAATCAACAGAACTTCTTTTGTGTTCAAAAGGTTAAACAAATACTTCCAGGCTTTTGTGCAACTGGTGGCTTCTAACTGTTACTTTACTCTAAAGGAAAATCCCTTTCCAAACGTCTCCCAGGCTAACTGTGAACCTAAACCTAACTGATGTGGGTGCCACTACCGGGTTGAACTGCATCTCAAAGCACTGAGTGGACCTACCAGTAGGCCTGTAATCACTTCAGCTGGAGTTCTTAGATATTCAAAGTTGTTTTCTCCTCCAAAATTCCTCAGAGCTTTAGGGCTGTTTCCCTGGGAATCTTTGGGATTCTTTTTGCTCTTAAGACTGTTCTCCCCCTGTACATTGACTTTCCTTGCTGAGACTGACTAAAAATGGCTCCCTTCCCTTCTCAATTGTCCTGAACAGGGGGCTGAACCAAATTTAATGATGATGGACAGGGGGCCTGCCCTATAACTGCAAACTTTAACAGGAAGCCACCCTTCTGCAAAATCCCAAGCCTTGGGCTGCAAGCAAACACTTAATACAAAGCAAATAATGTGGGAGCTTCTGGTACAGCTGTACCAGCACACTATGTAATACCAAAAATTATGGGGATTGCAGTTCAGCATCATCTAAGGCAATGGTTCTCAACCTGTGGGTCCCCAGGTGTTTTGTAGGCCAAAACACCTGGGGACCCACAGGTTGAGAACCACTAATCGAAGGGGTCCTACAAGCCATCTTCTAAAGTGCTGGTGAAAGCCAGTCTAGTCTTAGTGAAAGAAGGGGGGGGGGACTATTCATTTGGTTAGTTGCAACTTCAAACTTGAAAGAGACATTATTGGAAGGAAAGCAAGAGTTGGCTACTTGAACAGTGGTTGAATTACTACTATTTTGAGCCCCTTTATCATTGTGACAATCCAGTATGATATAGTTATTTGGGTGCTGGAAAAGGACTTTGGGACCCCTTCCACACCGCTGAATAAAATCCCACATTTTCTGCTTTAAACTGAAAAATATGGCAGTGTGGATTCAGATAACCCAGTTCAAAGCAGATATTGTGGGTTTTTCTGCCTTGATATTCTGGGTTATATGGCTGTGTGGAAAGGCCCTGGGAGATCAGGTTTTGAGTCCTTGCTCGGAGATACATTGGGCAACACTCTTTGTCACCAGAGGAAGGCAATGGCAAACTCTCCCTGGACAAATCTTGCTAAGAAAACCTTGTGAAAGGGTTGCCATGAGTTGGAAACAACTTAAAGGCACACAACAACAAAAGCTTAAACATGACTTCCCGGATCTTCTAAAAGTACTATATTTCAGACAAAGAGAAAAGAGTTTAGAGGGGGCCAAAAACAAAATGAAGCTCAAGAGATCTGAACATGAGTAACCAAGACTGAATGCAAAATTTCAGAATTTGCAAATACTGTATCACTTTTATGAATGATAATTCCTAGATTACTCCAAAGGGCTGGGCAGACTCTGGGAGCAGTATTCAAAAATTAACTTTTCTAATATCTAAATAACTGCATTGAACCATTTTTCTGGAACCCAATATTACCTCCTGGAAAAGTGTGCAGCTTCTTACCTCAACAGCACTGTGATTTTCTTCAGTCTTTTCCATGCTCTCAAATGTTTCCCTCGGATTCTAAATTATAGCAGCAGAATGTCAAGGTGGCCGTTCCTGTTTGATCAATTAGGCTTTTTAATTTATTTATTTCCAAAAATAATATCCCAGAGAGTTACCCATCACCATCATCTAATTTGCAAGCCAGAATCAGAAATTGTCAGATTAAAATACTATTTGAATTAAGTAAACATCCCCAGTGTCACCAAGATTAAGACATTAAATTAAACACCAAGATTAAGACATTAAATTAAACATTATTATATTTGAAGTGGTGGGCAGCTTATTCTTGATTTTGGATTTAGATATGTATTCTTTCCTTATTCCTTCTTTATGTGCATAAAAGAGATGACACCAAACATGAAATCAGAATAAAATGAACGTCTTCCCTATGAACCATCAAGATTATTAAGATCGTCTGGAGAGGCCCTGCTCTCGGTCCCACCAGCCTCGCAAGTGCGTCTGGTGGGGACGAGGGACAGGGCCTTCTCGGTGGTGGCCCCTCGACTCTGGAACTTTCTCCCACTGGAGATCAGAACCGCCCCGTCTATCCTGACATTTAGGAAACAGGTGAAGACTTGGTTATGGAGACAGGTATTCGACGAGTGAGCCAACACCCTGAGATATGGATGGAGGATGATGAGCAACGATTTTAGTGTGACGACTGATCATTATAATTATTGATTGTAATTGCTGTTTTAATGCTTTACTGTAATATGTATTATGTTTTATTGATTGTATGTGATATTATGGTTGGAAACCAGTCTGAGTCCCTCAAGAGTGGTGAGAAGGCCGGTATACAAAACTTTTAAATAAATAAATAAATAAATAAATAAATAAATAAATAAATATAAATATTCCATTTGTGCCAAATAAAGTGATGCTAAGAATAATATTATAATGTAATACAATATAATAATACTAATAATTATAAGAATTATATATTTTATATTAAATGTAATATTACTAATGATATTACAATATAGTGGTATGGCACAATATAGTAATATATAATGCTAATATTGTGCTGTGCTAATAATATAACATATTGTATACACATATAATATTGATAATAATATTATAATGTAATACAATATACTAATATTATAATGTAATACAATATAATAATACTAATAATAACACAATATAAGAATTATATTATAATAACCCCCGGTTATATATAATAACCCCCGGTGGTGCAGTGGGTTAAAGCACTGAGCTGCTGAACTTGTTGATTGAAACGTCGCAGGTTCAATTCCGGGGAGCGGCGTGAGCTTCCGCTGTCAGCCCTAGCTTCTGCCAACCTAGCAGTTCGAAAACATGCAAATGTGAGTAGATCAATAGGTACCGCTCCGGCGGGAAGGTAGCAGCGCTCCATGCAGTCATGCCGGCCACATGACCTTGGAGATGTCTACGGACAACGCTGGCTCTTCGGCTTAGAAATGGAGATGAGCACCACACCCCAGAGTCAGACATGACTGGACTTAATGTCAGGGGACTACCTTTACCTTTTTTATAAGAATTATATATTTTATATTAAATGTAATATTACTAATAATATTACAATATAGTGGTATGGTACAAAACAGTAATATATAATGCTAATATTGTGCTGTGCTAATAATATAACATATTGTGTACACATATAGTATTGATAATAATATTATAATGTAATACAATATAATACTAATGATAATACAATATAATAATTATATATTTCATATTACATGTAATATTACTAATAATATTACAGTATTGTGGTATAGTACAATATGGGAATGTATGGTACTAATATTGTGCTATGCTAATATAATATATTGTATTTACATATAACTTGTAAGCCGCTCTGAGTCCCCTTCGGGGTGAGAAGGGTGGCATATAAATGCCGTAAATAAAATAAAGAAATAAATAACAGACCAAGAAGCACCTGGTGATGTAATGGGATAAACCCTTGTTCTGGCAGGAATACTGACCAAAAGGTCAGCGGTTTGAATCCGGGGAATGGGATGAGCTCCTGTCTTTCAGCTCCAGCTTCCCATATGGAGACATGCGAGGATGGTAAAACATCCGGGCATCCCCTGGGCAGCGGCCTTGCAAATGGCTAATTCTCTCATACCAGAAGCAACTTGCTGTTTCTCAAGTTGCTCCTGACATGAAAAAAAAATAACAGATCAATTCCTAATCCCACCAAGAGTTGGTCCATTACTTAAGTAGAACTTACATAAGTGTTAAATGGATGCAGTTTCCTTTAAGACAATGAGAACAAACTTGTATCCCCTTAGTAGTTGGCAACAAACAGTATTACATTCCAGTCCATCGCAGCTATAAGCATTTCTAGTCACGTCCACTATGGATTCCTCAAGTCCCCATTCTAATTCTGGAGCCCCCAGTGGTGCAATGGGTTAAACCCTTGTGGTTCGATCTGGGGATAGTTGGTTGAGCTCCCTCTGTCAGCTCCAGTTCCCTATGTAGGTACATGAGAGAAGCCTCTAACAAGGATGGTAAAACATCAAACATCCAGGCATCCCCTGGGCAACGTCCTTGCAGACAGCCAATTCTCTCACACCAGAAGCGACTTGCAGTTTCTCAAGACAGGAAAAAAAATCTAATTCTGCACACTGTCTGAAGGAATCCTTTTTTTCTATCCACTCTTGTATTTTAAATGCTGTACAATATTAAAATTTAGGTCAAGACAGCATTATTTCCCAATTCTTTCCTACACAGCCATTGGAAGCCCTTACCTTCAGCAGTGTTTTCTGATTTCCGAAAGTCTTGCCTAAGTTTAGCTTAGGCATCTCTGCTTTGGCATCTCTAAAAGCTCCAGCCAGCCACTTTCATACAACAGACGACTACTGCTTTACTGCAAGAGATTCCAGCTAAGCTTGCAGCTTCTGATATCTTGTTGGAAACACCTCTCCTTCTGTTTATCAGCCGTTGCCTTGTTTACAGCTATGCTCTTTGCTCAGGGAGTCATCGACTGGGGAGCACTTCACAGCTGAGGCACTCAACACTTATGCACACTCAAAAAAGCATTGCAAAGCATTTTTCCTGATATTTTTGAAGCTGACACATTTGCAACAACCCATTATGTTACACATTAGTAGTATCTGAGAATTGATAAATGGATATAGCAAACCAAAAGCCGAAAAGCTTTGATGGATGAACAGTAAGAGCTGTTCAGCAGTGCAATGGGTTAAACCCTTGTGCTGGTTGAACTGCTGACCTGAAGGTCAGCAGTTCAAATCTGTGAAACAAGGGAGAGCTCCCATCTACCAGCTCCTGCTTCCCATGTGGGGACATGAGAGAAGCCTCCCACAGGATGGTAAAACATCTGGATGTTCCCTGGGCAACGTCCTTACAGATGGCCAAATATGTATTGTCGAAGGCTTTCATGGCTGGAATCACTCAGTTCTTGTGTGTTTTTTCGGGCTATATGGCCATGTTCTAGAAGCATTTCTTCTGACGTTTCGCCTGCATCTATGGCAAGCTTCCTCAGAGGTGAGGCCAAATATCTTGCAGTTTCTCAAGTCACTCCTGACATGAAAAAAGAAGCAGTACAAATGCTGCTGCCTCGGAGCATGGTGGAGTCCACTTATTTATTTATTTATTTATTTACCCTATTTATGAACCTGACTCAGCACATAGAAGATGGCTTTGAAAGGCAGCAGATCACAGGAGCTGTCTTCATAGACCTGTCAGCGGAATATGATACTGTAAACCACCGCCTCCTCCTGAGAAAAATGTATAACATCACAAAGGACTATCACCTCACTCGCCTCATAGGAAACCTGCTACAAAACAGGGGCTTTTTTGTTGAGTTCCAGGGCCAGAGAAGCAGATGGTGGAAATAGAACGGCCTGCCTCAGGGGAGCGTGCTGGCTCCATCCGAACTAATCAGCTGGCAGACCAGAACCATGTTCAACCACTACAAGGGGATAGGGATTCTTTTTCCACAGTGCTGACTCAAGGCATCACCAAGAAAAGCCAAGAAGAAACAAGAAGCATATTGCTACCATTTATGGGAAATTAACCAGTCTTTAGAAGCCATATTATTAATCCAGAATAAACATCACCATCTAGTTCAAACCTCATAATTATGAACATAAATTGGTGTTCTGATTTCACACATAAGCATGGGTTGAATGAGAAGAAAGGGGGCTGTATCCCCCAGTGGTGCAGTGGGTTAAAGTGCTGAGCTGCTGAACTTGCTAACTGAAAGGTCGCAGGTCCAAATCCGGGAGCAGCATGAGCTCCCGCTGTTAGCCCCAGCTTCTGCCAACCTAGCAGTTCGAAGCAGTCATGCTGGTCACATGACCTTGGAGGTGTCTATGGACAACGTCAGCTCTTCGACTTAGAAATGGAGATGAGCACTATAACAAAATACTACCACAGACTAACTAGCTCACCAAAAATAAAATACATGCAACAGGGAGTAGTAGAGAAGAGAAGAGTAAGATTATAAATTAATGTATTTGAGAGACGGGGAAAATATATATTGGAATAAATCCCAACGCTCTCTGCCAAAATGTTGAAGCTCGCAAAAAGTAGAGGGAGTATGGTTGTTGAACCAACTGTCTATTTAAAAGTTAGGAACTGGGAACCACCAGAACTGAGAGACTTAAAATGATTCTTCAAAAGATTTCTGCTGCCACCATATTAATAATAAACAGGCTGAGGTATTATTGAGAGGTTGTTCAGTAACACACTCTGTGTCACTAGTTTTCTTAGCGGCTGCTGAAAGCTGACTTGAATAATGCTTTGACCACAAAGGTATTCACACAGAGGCTGGTATAAGTTGATAAAAATAACAAGAACGTTTATTGAACAGGCTTGAATAATTCAGATACAAATGCTTAATGGTTTCAGTAAAAATACTGGCATAAAAAGCTTGTGATTGCATTCGAGTTAAAATCTTAAAAACTTCTGGGTTACAAGTCTTAAAAGTTCCACCACAGAAAATTACTTCAGGAAATGAATACCTGAAAGTAAGTCCCAAACATGTCCCCTTAGGAATCTAGCCAAAATCCCTGAACTAGACTTCCTTAGGAAATGAACAG